TGCATAATCATAAATCAAATACTTTTTAGATTTTTATTTATATTTACACAAACATTATTTGAAAAGTACCACTTTGTAAAAGTACTGATGCATATTTTTGACTATACATAATTTTTAGCTCTTGTTTGCATTAGAATTATCCAACAGTCTGAGCTCATCTCCTCTGGAGAAATAGGTTTCAGATCAGCCAACTTGGATTCATTTAAAGGAACTTCCAAAAGTTTTCTAGTTGAACTAAATCAGGATATTTTATAATTTCCAAAAGCTGTTCCTAAAGTTTTCTTGGCACAGTAGTTTGCTGAACTTCATTCTAACAAAGTTTGTATTTCTAATCCAGGTGGAAATCTTTAACCGACCCCTTTTTAAATAACCTACTCGGGCTGATAATATATATATTTGCAACTCATGAAGCACAGAAATATTTTAGATTAACTTCAATGACTCCCCATTACTAAGGAGTGGTTCAATTTGCAGGTTTTTTAAGCCATACCAAGGCTTTGCTGGGCTACTCTATAAAGCCTGGATCTCAACACTAATCCAGACATTTTAATTTAAGAAAGCTTCCTGGATGAGTAAGGAAAGGTCTTCAAACTTTGAAAACAAAATCTAGTGGTTCCTTTTTTAACTTTTTAAACCTTTTTTTGGAATGACTATGAACTGAGTGACTTAGAATCTTCACCAGCATTTTAAATTAAACATTCCAATGTCAAGTCTTAAAATCAAAGTCATCTATAATATAACATCTTGGCCTTAGAAGAGTTTCTGCATGGATGACTATTCACCACCACTATCCCTTTAAACTTGGATAGCTTTATCGTTTTTTTTTTTTTTTTTCAAGATCTCGCTGTTTTCAGAAATGCAAGGCTGTCATTAGCATGTTGTGTCTCTTTCACAATTAATTTTCTATATTTCTATATTCTATTTCTTTCCCCAGTGGAATCACAGTCAATATACAGTTAGTTAGATATTTATATCAACAGACTGATGTGCACAATGCACAATGACATAAGATTACAGACAGAGCACAAAAAACACTTATTAGGAGTTTAGTTAATTTAGGGCCCCCACCTGAGTTGATTAAAAACAAATGCCTCGATGAAAACATTAGTCAAGTTTTATATCCAAAAGCTGCATGAGATATTTTATTTTATGTAATCATATTTTCTGTTTTTTTTTTTTTTTTTTTTTACCCTCAGGCAGAGAGTCATTCTCTTGTTTTTTGGAAAATTTCCAAAAGGCAATCATGTTCATTATTGTGAGGAATAGATGAATGTAACCGTTCTACCATAAAGTTAGTACACTGCTTGCTGATGGCACTGAAAATGCTGTTGCTGTAATGTTCCTGCTCAGCCTCAGCTGAATATGTGCTACAAAATCAATTTATCCACATGTCCAGAATGTTATATGGATACAAATTATGTAGCAACATACTCCCTAGCTGTTGTTTTGTACGTGGCACTCTCTGTCACTTACTAGTAATGCTGAACATATTCAACAATTTATAACAAGAATTTTTCTAGAGTTTGTGCCATTAGTGGCCATTATTTACAGTGCTTCAGACATAAGATACATAAAGAGAGAAGCAAAGGGAGCCACAACAAGGTTCCTCAGGTAGGTTATGAAACTCCAAACATCTCTATTAAGGATTTATAGACTTCATTTGAGGCATACATACTTCCTCTACAGCATGCTCTACTTATAAAAAATTTTTCATTCTTATAAAATCTTATGAAATATATTGCAAAAACTGTTTTTAGTGATTCATCAGTCACTATTTATAAATCTAATTGCATTGCAAGATGAAGGAGGAAGAAAAAGGAAAGAACTTTGTAGAACATACAGATTTTACGAAGGTCTGTGCGTTTCTAAAATGTGTGCTGAGCAGATTCTTAAAGAAGGTTTGCAGGGTTGTCGGTTCAATCCCCAGCTCTGGCTTTCAATGTTGTTGTTTCCTTGGGAAAGACACTTCCCCACATTTCCTCTTGTGGTCAGAGGAACCAGTGGCGCCTGTGTACGGCAACCTACTGTAGCTTCTGTCAGAGTGTGTTTCCATTAGCTTTGTCTAATGCACAGAGTATAATTCGCATCCAACTAAAATTCGCATTTTAGTTGGATGAAAATATGTCTAGTGCACCTGTTTGTGCATGAATGTGTGAATGTAGTATAAAGTTATTTGGTCAAGTTCTGAAAAAGCATTATGTAGTACAGCCTATTTACCATTTTCACATCTGAAAATCAGGTGCAGGTCAGGATATCAGCATTAGTTACCTGTGTGAGTGATTTTTTTTTTCTCCTCAAAGTTTCTTAATCGGCTCTGCATGAAGCGGTAATATCTGACCATATAACTTTGGATTTACCTTGTTTTGCATTATATCGGTTCAAACCACATTTAAGAGGATAAATCCATCTCTCCAGAGAGTAATCTGCTATAAATTATACTGTTTGTTTGTCGGGATTTCTCAATAAGTGTAGTCCTTCCAACACCATGAAAAGTGGCATTTTCAGGAGTTATTGGCACGTAACATTGTTGTGGACGTTAAGATCAGTAGCTATTAACAGCAGTTAGGTGAGGTTAATGGTAGAAAGCAATGTTTGCTGGAGGATATATGATAGAATTTTATTATGTATGCAAAGAGAAACAGCTGTAAAAAAAATGTTTGTTTTTTTGGCTGGTGAACATGTGAACTTCTATGTAGTATTTCTAGAGCTTAAGAAAGATTCAGGACTTGTATTGTTACTAAAACACAGAATACAGATCCCTCGCTTTTTAAAATGTATTTAAAAAAGCCGTAGATGAAAGTTTATATGGATGAAATTTTGGAACATCTGTTTTGCCTGAATGGGACAAGCGACTGTTGGTTAAGAACTGGATACGGAAATTAGTACCAGGAATAATATTGTGTTTCTCACAAAAGTCAAAGAAAATTTAGAATGCTTCACTTAGTCTTAACAAATGGACAAAGAAGAACATTTTCTTCAATCTCACACTTAGAAGATTGCAGAAATCTATGCGTCTGTTTGTATAGATACAAATTAGTGGTCACAGAGGAAATGAAAGACCCCGTGCTAATATTTATGTCTTTTGTTCTGATTCTTTTGACCCTGAGAAAAGAAATCTCTCTTTACATTGATATTTAGATCAGTTACTTTCATGCTGCAAAATACTTTACAAGTATTAGAATATGAAAGGATAGAAATGTAAATTAATGTGGCTAACTATTTGATCCTAACAATGATAGACGTATTGACACAAACAGTGAACAGGCCAATCACATGACAGAAACTTAATGCATGTAAGCATCTGAACATGATGAAGATGAAATCTGAACTAGCAATCAGAAAGGAGGAACAATGCGTAATTGCATAATTGGTGTTTACAGATGTTCTGATCCCACGATTTTTTTTATATCATCACTACCTCAAGAATTTTTAGAGAGAGGTCTGAAAAAGGAGAAAAGATGCGCAGAGAAGTTGGTAGGGGTTAACATGTGCTTAACTGTTTTCCAACAAGAACAAAAAAGTTTGCTTGCCCCCTTTCGCATACAAATAAACTTCATTCAGCCTGGATTTCTTTGTTAAAGATGTTCTTTATTATTTTGATGCAAATTCTAGCCCAAACTTTTGACTGAGGTGAAAAAGATTGAAAAACCTGAGGATGTGTTATTTCTGTGATAATAAGAAGAAATAGAAACATTTAGTGAAAGCTGGGTACGGTGGGAACATTCCTACCATTTCCCACAGCTGTCAGGCTCCTGAACGCCTCCTGACACCAACCATTAGGACTGTACACCCCCCCAAAACACAATAAAATAGCTTCTGGACTGTCCTCACACACACATCCACGGATCCAACACCAGTTAGTATACTGTACCACTATAGCTGTATATAATCTGAAAATCTTTTTTCTGTTATTATCTGTCATTATTTATCCTATATTATAATCCCACTAATTTATATATAATCCATATCCTAATGTTCCTGCATAATTTGTATATAGTTTTCATATAATAATTTATTTTATACCCTGTTACAATTACTCTGTGCTTGTATGTGGATAAAATTTTTACATATGCATAGTTATACATACATATATATATACATTTACAGTAACATTTATAGTCAATATATACATAGTCTCTCTGCAGATGTAAATAAATATTTATATCCTGTATAGCACATCTGGATAGATGCAAACTACATTTCGTTGCGTTTTACGTGTGGCACTGTAATGACAGTAAAGTTTAATTCTAATTCTAAAATTCAGATAGTGTTAAAAATAAATCTGATTTGAAAAATAGATTTGGCTATTCAGACTGATGGTGATGATGTAATTGTGTGGGGAAGATTTTCTTGTGTCCCTCAGTACCAGGGGGGAAATTGTTTAAATGCTGCAGCCTATTTAAATATCAGTACTGACCCTGTCCATCCCCTAAATAGTTTATTGAACACAACAATAAATTACTGCAATTGCCTCAACCGTCACCAGATCTTTATCCAACAGAGCAGCTTTGGGATATTGTGGAACAGAAGATCTCTATCATGAATGTGCAGCGTGTGATGCTGGTATTTAATTTTGAAGAAAAATATCAGGGAGATTCTTTTTAAAACCTTGTTGAACTGATGGCAAGAGAAATGAAGGCAGTCCTGAAGCCAAGCCAGAATGGTATCCAATAAGTGGAATGTACCCAATAAAGTGGCTACTTACTGTAAATCACAGCTGTTGCTTATAACGAGCACTAGATCTTGTGTTTCTCTTCTGTTGTCTCTTTGCACTGCATATTCACCCTACTTGGGTTAAAAAAAATGGTTGAGTCTAATTTAAAGTGAAGCCTGCAAACTAAAGTTGCATATTTCCAGAGGGCATCTGCTGTTTGGCTATATGAAAGTGGCCAACTATTTTCCACAAAGTTTGTTAGCCCCATTCCTCAAGCAAAGCTAAAGTTTTGAGTTACTGCATTGAGGCAACATGTATTTACATCCATGTCTATGTCTTCTTGCAGGCTATGGCATAGGCCTTCCCCAGGGCTCTCCTCTGACCCGTAATGTGTCAGAGTTTGTGAGTCGCTACAAGTCTGACGGCTTTATGGACATGCTGCATGATAAATGGTATAAGGTTGTACCCTGCGGAAAAAGAGTCTTTGCAGTCACCGAGGTAAGTCATCAGTGGGAGTGTTCACATGGTGAACGTGTATTGTGTACAAAGCAAAGCCTTCTGCTGCTGTACTTCTATAAACGAGTCCCCTTTTAGGATGGAGACGAGATTGACTGCCAGCTAAAGCACATGTGCACAAAGATGCACACATAAAGCAGTAACATTAATTAAATTCTGTTCCATGCACCTACCTTAACCAGAGTTTCATGCACAAACCAAGTGTCCGCATCCATTTCAACTTTCTTAAGTGTGATTGAAGAGTATATAAAGTTCTCTGTGTTCCCTTCTCCTTTCAGTTTTTTTTAAGAGTGAAAATCCCTAGACACAACCCTCTGTCTGTCTCTATCTCATTTCTGCAAAATGAGAAGCAATCCAACTCCCTTTGGCCATCCTTTTTTTTTTAAATCCTACTTCAAAGTTGAAATATGGTAACAAAACGCAATTATGCAACCTTAACTTCACCCTGCACCAGAAATGTATTAGTCCTCATCCCATTTAAAGCTTGGATAGCTGGCTACTCTGAAACAATGTGAGCATTAGTGCAAACTTGGCCCCCTGGATCAGGAGCAAAAGGAGGTCAATGTAGATGTTGATGAATTTGTTGAGTCAGCATGGGGCTAATTGCCATCAGAGGCGGTGATGAAATGAGTTGGGTGAGAGAAACATAATTATAGGGTACTGGAAGAGATCCCCACCAGCTCTGCCACTTTCTCCAGTGGATGAATGTTGCTTGAGAAAGGGTTGTTGGCAAACAGAAAAGAAACAGTGTTTTCTTATTCAACTGTTTTCCCCTTTTTGTTGTCTCTCTCTTCTAACTGCTGTTTATTTTTATTACCCTTACTTGAACCTCCCATTTCTCCCCTTGTCTGTCTTCCCTCTCCTCCCCTTGCATGTTTTGTTACACTTTAATAATACTCTTATGGGCTTACACAGCCACACTACAACGGCAGAATATCAATTGCACAGTCACATGCAGTTGCCTTAATGGTAATTACTTCAAGAATAAATAAAAAAGCTTTGCATTTGATTCTCTGTCGGCTTTCAGATCCACCAATTTCTGACAATCACTCATCTTCCTCTCTTTGTCAGACTCTACAGATGGGGATCCAGCATTTTTCAGGTCTGTTTGTGTTGCTGTGCATGGGAGTAGGGGGAGCTCTGCTGACCTTGGCAGGTGAACACACCTTCTATCACCTGGTGGTCCCCCGCCTCCGACGCTCAAACACCCTGCAGTACTGGCTGCACACCAGCCAGGTGGGTGAACACATGTTTGGATATGCATGCATGCTCCCTCTGTCACATCTCGCATACAGCAAAGAAAATTTTCTGCAAAGATGTGCAAAGACTGTTTTTTATCTTAAGGTTAGTCTCTGGTGTTCATGCACTCCAGCTGCTCTTTCGTAAAATTCCTACCTGCATCACTTGAAGATAACCTGCGCCCTCTTCTGTTACAAACTTTTAATAACACTTACTTGAGACCATTATAGATGCAATTTAGTTATTGTGGAAAGATATAGCCCGACCTCTTAATGTTATGTTAATTACATTAATTAATGAAAAGAGCTTGTTGATTACATAATTAAGTTTTAATGTTGCCTATAAATTAATAAGTTAATTTAAACTTTTTAAATTACACACGTTTCCGATAAGCGATGTTTTATGCTCTGGTTCATGACCTTCTGTTATACATCTATGTCTTTGACGGTTAAGTAGTTTTTATCTGACACTAATGGTTTCTGTAAATACAAAACAAGACTCCAGTCTTAATATAACATACTGTATATGAGAATCTGTGAGTTTTGCAACAACGCTGAAATAACAAATGAATAACAGTGCAGAAATTAAAGGTCATGCGAAGTTTCTCTTTTTATGCAACTCTAGTCAATACTAAATGAGAACCCTGTGGCAGCTTTTGGAGTGAATAATGGAACCAGCCGTCTGAATATTAAGACTGCTGGTATATGTTTGCTACATTTTTCTAAAAGGGCACCTACTTCTGGGAAGCCTTCTACAGCGTCCAACACAGGACATTAATAAGGAAAGGTTTCTCTGTAATGGCTAAAGTTCTGGTCAGAAGTTTACAAAAACTTATCATGGCCAAAAATTTCATGAAATTACATTTTTGGAGGAATAAATTCTTTGTTTCTCATTTTTTGGTTAATTGAACCTTAGCTAGTTGCACCCTGACCATGCTTTATTTCTGTAATGATCAACAATAGCCTGGAATGTTTCTGTTTGAATTCTTAAGCACTGTTCTTTTGAGAATTATTGGATACCATTACTTCCATCTCAGGTACCCAGATTGAGTTTGGTGCCTTCAATCTGATTTATCAGACAGCTCCTGTGTGTTTTGGAACACAGCCCAGTGAGAACACCTTATTGTGTTCAAGTTTTAACTAGCCAGCTGTTAATTTAAAAATAGGCCTGGGTTGATATTTTTGGGTTGGTCAAAATCCCAACCAGTTTATTCTTTAGTTTATAGGTTTAGTAATTAGTTCAAACCAGATAATCCAAGTCAGAACTATTTTAAATGAAAAAGCAGCCTAAAAGTAACAAAGTAACAGACCTAAAAGCTTGAATCTACACCAGGAAACCATCCAATTAAAAATTAGAAAACCAGGACTGCTGATGGCTGATATAGTGTGTTCTTTCTTTGCAACCTCCTAAAGTCCATTTATAGAAACATCAGTGGAGTGTACAGAGTCCAATTCATTTACAGCCCGTTCTTGTGTGTTTTTGCTTAGATTTCCATCATTTGTTCATTAACAAAATATTCATCAAATGCAAACTCTGTAATGCTCTCATCAGAAGTTGGTAAATGAAAGCATGGGTGCACATTTTTTTCTATGTACGTATATATTTAACTAACATTGACAATTCATTTCAAATGGATTTATTCTTGCCCTAAACTGTCTCAAAATGCCAGTCTTAAAAAATTTGCCCTTTTTAGGTATTTTCAGTGGGTCTTCCATGAATTAGTTAGAGAAAAGCTGTCATAGATAGCCTGTGAAACTAGCTGCAATATTAACTCTGATAAAACAGCTTTTCTGTAAATTGTCACAAGTCAGACAAAGTCATAAGAATTTTTTCTTTATCTCTAATCATCATTTCTGCTTGCAGAAAATCCACAGAGCGCTTAACACTACATACGAGGATGTCGGGAAGGAGCTGACCTGCCTTGACCAAAAGTAATGAGCTGGCTGACATTTTGATCTACGTTTGCTCTGTGTTCACGGTCACTTGTTCTGAAAATATTCAGCTAAATGCAGCCTAAGCACTGCAGGGAATGTTCATAATTCACCACAGATACATACATTTTTTATGGTTGTTATATTACCCACATTCATTTTAACTAGTTTACATTTTTGTGAAATATATTAGTGACATTTATTACATTCAGACTTTTTACTTTACTCTGATATCCCTAAATAGAATCCAATGTGATCAGTTGCCTTCATACAGTAAAACCCCTTTTACTATAAGTAATTTAATCTTAGAAACAATACAGTTCTTTTTTATTATATTATAAAACAATATTCACAACTTTATGGAAGAAAGTTCAATTTATCTTCTGAATATTTAAAGGCACAACTAAAAATCTACCAAAACATGTCTGTCCATTTTAAGGATTGTTCTAAACAAAGAAGCAGCCCAGAGGCTCATGGTACCTCTAGATGAGCTGCAGAGATCCACAGCTCATGTGGGATAATCCATTGACAGGACAACTAGTAGTGCACCCCATAAAACCAGCCTTTATGAAAGAGTTGCTAGATTAACACTGTAGGGAAGACAAAATCTCCCTTATAATGTTTGGCACAACTCATTTTTAAATATAAAGCACGAGTACACAACTACGCTAACATCATATGTGAGCATCTGATGGTAGACCAGCACCTTAGATTTGCGGGTGATATTATACTTAGATTTTTGTACCCAACATGAAATTGGATACATGCTGTGATCTTTCTCTGTAATTCCAGGCCCTCCCCTTGTATCTCAGAAAACTGCACCTTACACAGGAAGCAGCAGCAGCAACCTCCACCGTCACCTCCCACATCCCTCCCTGCTTCCACAACAGCCGGTGAAACTGGAAGCTCCTCTCCATCCCATGAACATAAAGAGAAACGTGTTCACTTTGACCTGGACACGCTTCACAGCTACCGCCTGCGCACACACACAGCATCGGTGCGTGGCAGGCCAGGCATGGTCGGCCGCCCTGGTCTTGGTCTTGGAGGGTTTGGGTTCGGCAGCTTTACCTCTCCTCCTCAGATTAATCTCCACGCCAATGGAGGTCCAGTATCGACCCTAGCTTCGACAGGTTTGCTGCTTTCTCCCCTAGGAAACAGGGCTACCCAGACAAGCCTGTGGGAGGGGGAACTCCAGGAGCTTCAAGTGAAGATCGAAACCTTCCGCAACCAGCTCAGAGAAGCTCTGGCTCGAAGAGCTGAGATCCAGACCAGCTTGGAAAGAGAAAGGAGTGGACTGGGGCGCAGGGAAACCAGTCTGGAAAGAGAAAGAGACAGGCAGAAGGTGCAGACTATTCCTACAGACAGAAGTAGTTCTACTCAGTCCAGACTTCCTGAAAGAGACAGGACCAGTCAACTGCAAACCCTGAACAATCAGCAGCTAGGGAGGCCTAACCAAACAGCTGCAGCTGCTACTGCTGGACTGGGACGAAGCAGCCAGTTAAACACTGTGAACAGTTTGGAGAGAGGAAGAGCCACTCAATCCCGCCCCAGTGTTACTGTGACAGGAGAAAGGACTGTCCAGTCACGCACTTCTACTAGTTTGGAGCGAAGTCAAGTCAACCAACAAGGTGCTGGAAACATAACTGTCCAAACGAGGAACACTTCTAGCCTTGACAGACAGAAGGCCAACCTTTCACGCACTCTGAACACTTTGGAGAGGACAAAAGCCAACCAGTCAAGTGTAAACATCGGAACCTGATTGGTTATCTGAAGCCATTTGGTGTGCAGGAATTAGAACTAGTCAGGTGCTGTTATCATAGCTGCGGGAAGAAAGGTTGGAATAGGTTCTAGTTATTTTACTTTTTTGCCATCTAGTACCTTTATAGCTTATTTTTTTCCTACTTTACCTTTTCAAGTATAAAAGGAACCATTGTCACATGATGATTAATACTGATCCAGAGTCTGACCTGGAGGATATCTGTATCAGAAACACCAACCAAAATTTTATTCACATTCTGAATTAGGAAAATAGTCCAATAGAAAGATTTCAGAGCAAATATTTTGGTTTGGTTGGGAAACCAACAGTGGAGTTGATCTCCAAGATCAGGTATCCCATACCATATCCCTTATTTTCTCATATTTAATTGATTTAATCATTAAACTTCATTTTAAGATAAAAATTTGAATTCTTTATTGAGGATAAACTGTCCGAACTGACCCAGTTTTATGTAAAATTACAACACCACCCCCCACCCCCCCCACCCCCACACACACACACACACGCACACACAAACCTGTTTAATAATAAAGAAAAATAATGGAAATATTCTTTATTTGTCCCTAAGTGAGGAAATTTTGAGTATCAGCAGCACCATAACACACAAATAAAATGAGTACAGATAGAACTAAAAAAATATAGATAAACTTGAAATAAAACAGAACAGACTGAATATGGTTTCAACTGTAAATAATCCCAATCTATTAGCAACAGGTATTCATTAATATTGACTGCCTATCAAATCAAGCAATCCCTTAAAGGTAATCTATCTGACAAAATAAAATTGGCTAAAAGATCTCAAAAACAGAACAATCCCAAATCCAAATTAAACCTGAAAAACAGAGTCATTAATATATAGTTTTGTTTTGTTTGTTTTGTAATGGGTTTACAAAGCAATTTCTGATGCTTCAGGACTCCAATAAACCACAGTGAGAGCCATGGTCTACCAGCAGAGACAACATAGATCCATATCAAACCTTCCTATGAATGTCTGGCCTACCTGAATAACCCCAAGAACATGTTTGCAATTCATCCAAGAGGTTAAAAAAAACAACCCAGAACATCTAAAGCTCTGCCTCGCTTTCCCCTTTTAACTTTAGTGTTTTATGATTTAGCAGCAGATAGAGGCTAGGCAAAATCAGACACATTAACAGGCCATTCATGCCCATAATCTCCTATATGCTACTTGCTACAGAATGATGGAAGGAACCAAACCAGCATCAACCCCTCCAAAGGAGCATTAAACTTGAAACGCCACAGTTGTGGCTAATTTAGAAACAGCTGTGACTACAATCCCTCCATAGCAATTTGAATTAATTTAATTTTCCAGATGAGATAAAATTGGTTTGGATGGCATTCTTCTTTTAATAAGTGAGATTATTATCTGTGACCTTCTGTCCTATGATGGACTAATGATTCATCCAGAGAGTGCTCTGCCTTTATATGAGATTACTGTAAAGATAGGCACCCAGACTAAGTTGTTAAGGAATGTTTTTCTACAACACTTTAATTGACAAAAGAACAAACAGATATACATAGACTTAAATAGATAGATAAATGGAAATGAGAAGTAAAAAAGGGCAATACAATGGGTCTAAAGTGGGAGTTAAAATATGGATGACCTGATGTAAGCTTGTGTGTATTGATAATGTTGTTGAGGAGTTAAATGACAGATGCATGAAATGTTCATTTCCAATTTCATTTACAGAAATACGCTCTATTGTAACATTGAATTACTTTCAGTCCAGCTGCAGTTTGTATCCATAGATAATAAAAAACTGATTAAGTGTTGATGAAATTTACAGAGCAATAAAATCAAAAGTGTAAGAAAAATAACAATTATTGCAATGATATCTTAAACATCAAGATCAAAGAGATTAGAACTGGGGGTAGAAAATAATCAGACCTTCTGTGGTAGATTGATTAACCATATCTGGTTAAAACAAAGATGGCCTCAGGAAACTACACTGACAACCAGTTGGAAAGGGAAGAAATCACTTCAAATGTAATTGAAAAGGGTACTAATTCAATTTCAAATTTGAAGTACAAGTAAATGCAGAACAACAACCTGGTACCAGAGTTAGTCATAAACAAGCTATAAAAGTGGAGTTACACAGACTGACAATACTTTAATTTAAATTGACTGTCAACATTTGTTGTTTGTTTTAGCATAACTGGTGGATGTCAAATCTGTTGGTCATTGGAAAAACATAAATATGTTTTGTTTTCATTTATGTGGTAGTTATGCCTTCATTTAATGTCTGTTTTTTTTTTTTTTTCAATTCACCTTGCTCCCTCTTTTGGTGTCTTTATTTTTAGACCAATTGAAATCAAGGATCTCAAAGAGGTGAGATTTCAACTTATTAAACCAACACATTACCAGTATTTTAAAATATAAATGCAAAATACAGTATCTGGGGGAAAAAAAGATCCAAGGCAAACAAAGACTACAGTCTGGGTACTATAAAAACTGCCCAAAAAAAAAAAAAAAAAAATATTATCCGATCCGATTTCTTTCTTTTTATGTGCGACAGTAGGAATATGATATGAATGAATGAAGGTTTTTACTGGAAAATGTCCCTTATGCCTATTTTCACCTTTCAGTTTGTACTATATATATATATATATATATATATATATATATATATATATATATATATATATATATATATATATATATACAAATACAATACAAATAGAATATATATATTTAATATATATTCCCTATTTAATTGTAGCCAGAATGCCAGGAAAGCTCTGTGTCAGAAATCATTGGGGTAAACTCTTTAAATAACAGTTCATTGTGTATATTTATTAAATATCCAGGAGACATGACAACAGATTTTGATGGAAATTGTAATTTTACTCAGATCAGATATGTTGCTTTTAGTTACAGAAGTCTGCCACATGATCACATCATTACATCATACACATTTCCAGGTGAGGAGACATCCATCGCTACAGCCGAATCAAAATATTACACTCTTTTCTTAGCTAAAGGACACCACTCTCATTCCATTCCCAACTATATATCCAGACAGAGGAACTGTCTTAATCAGATAATTTTACATTTAACATTAACATTAAATTCAATTCAATTAAGTTTATTTATATAGCGCCAATTCTCAGCACATGTCATCTCAAGGCACCAGATCATAGAGTCAAATTGATTCAAAGTTTTCTATCTAAGGAAAACCAGTTGATTGCATTGACTCATTGACTCGAATACAATCCCTCACACTAAGCATGCTTGTAGCCACAGTAGAGAGGAAAAACTCCCTTTTAACAGGAAGAAACCTCCAGCAGAACCAGGCTCAGTGTGAGCGGCCATTTGCCGGGGCCGACTGGGGTTCAAGGAGACAGAAGCAGAGACACAAAAAGCAGCTGTAAAAAGCGGCCCCGTCCAGGAAACCCACAGCCAGGCAGACGAGCTCCGAGCCAGCTCCCATGTCAGAGACTGAAGAGAGCACATCCAGCCAGTCACGGTCAGAGAAATAGGACACTGGAAAAAAGAGGCTGATCTCCAACATCTGTAAACAAGGGTGTTGATGGAAGCAGCACACCTGATATTTCTCTCCAGGGTGGTGTCACAGCCAAACAGGAACAGATAAGGCAAAGCTACTATGAGAAAAGGCAGAGAGAGCATAACGTTAGAGATTAAACTAACAGATACTGCAAAGTGGAAGAATAGAGATAGAATGAAGCAACATGATGAAAAAGGGGTCCCTATGTCCTCCAAAAGTCTAAGCCTATAGCAGCATAACTATAGAGATAGCTCAGGATAACCTGAGCCACTCTAACTAGAAGCTTTATCAAAAAGAAAAGTTTTAAGCCCACCCTTAAAAGTAGACAGGGTGTCTGCCTCACGGACTAAAACTGGTAGTTGGTTCCACAGCAGACGACCCTGGTAACTAAAAGATCTGCCTCCCATTCTACTTTTAGAAATTCTAGGAACCACTAGTGAACCTGCAGATTGAGAGCGAAGTGCTCTGTTAGGAACATAAGGAACAATCAGATCTCTGATATAAGATGGAGCTTGGCCATTTAAGGCTTTATTTGTGAGAAGGAGGATTTAAAATTCTATTCTGGATTTAACAGGAAGCCAATGAAGAGAAGCCAGGATAGGAGAGATATGATCTCTCTTTTTAATTTTCATCTGAACTCTGGCTGCAGCATTTTGGATCAGCTGAAGGCTTTTAACTACAGTTTGTGGACTTCCTGATAGTAAAGAATTACAATAGTCCAGCCTTGAGGTAACAAATGCATGGACTAGTTTCTCAGATTCACTCCTGGACAGGAGATTTCTCATTTTTACAAAATTTCGCAGATGAAAGAAGGAAATACTAGAAACCTCTTTGATATGGGATTTAAATGGCAGGTCCTGATCAAAAATAACACCAAGATTTTTTACTTTATCTGAAATCAGTTTAATACCATCCAAATGAGGTGACCGACTAATCAGCTTCTTCTTCAAAGAGTCTCTTCCAAAGACTATAACTTAAAGTTAAGAGTCATCCAGGTTTCGATGTTTTCGAGACATGCCTGGAATTTATGTAATGGGTTAGCTTTATCTAGATTTATAAACAGATATAGCTGGGTATCATCAGCATAACAGTGGAAATTAATCCCATGCTGTCTAATAACTCCACCAATTGGGAGCATATGTATAGTAAAGAGAATTTTTCCTAGCACTGATCCCTGTGATACTCCACAGGTAACCTTTGAGCATTAATCCAGTTTAGTGCTGTTTCTTTAATTCCAACCAAATATTCAAGTCTTTCTAAAAGAATATTATAGTCAACTGTATCAAATGCAGCACTGAGATCTAATACTGGCAACTACTTTCTCAAGAATTTTAGATAAGAAAGGAAGATTGGATATAGGTCTATAATTGACCGAGTAATCTGGATCAAGAGACAGTTTCCTAAGCAAAGGTTTAATTACAGCAACCTTAAAAGCCTTTGGTACATATCTCTGTAACAGGGATAGATTAATCACATCTAAAATGGAGAAGATGAAGAGATTAAAAGGAATACCTCCTTCAATAACCTGGTTGCAACTGGATCTAACATACAAGTTGAAGGCTTAGATGAAGACAATGGTTTTGCTAACTCTGAAAGTTCAACTGGATCAAAGCAGTCTAAACCCGATTCAGGTTCTATGGCTACCTCAAATGCTGCCTCACCTTCCAGAGATAAATCAATTGTAAATAAAGAAGGGGTAATGATCTTATTTTTAATAAGATCAATCTTATTTATAAAGAATCCCATAAAATCATTACTGCTAAGAGCAGGTAGAATGGATGGTTCAACAGAGCTATGGTTGTGGGTGAGTTTGGCAATGAGGAGAAATATGCTGCTCTTGTTTTGCAAAGGGTCCTCTTATACAGCAGTAAACTATTATTCCAGACTAGGTAGGATTCCCATACGCCTGTGGAGCGCAATTTTCTCTCCAGT